ATTCTGCCAATCGGTGCAGAGATAGTACAGTCAATCTGTCGAAAAAAATATCGTTTCAGTGAAAAAAAAACCTAAAGGGTAAGTCTTGTTTTTTCTGTTGCCAAATGACGTCAGTAAGCCACCTTGGCGTTGGGCATGTTCAACTCGTAGGCGTTTTTTGAAAAACTCAAAAAAACCGTCAAAAATTTTTTGAAACGCATTTTTCTTGTTTTGTATGCATTTTAGAAACTTTTTTTTCGACCATAATTGTAGAGGGTGTTGAGTGCTACAATTTATGTCATTGTTGCAATCTCGTACAACAAAAAATGCGCATTGTAGGTGGCGCTAAAGTCTCAAAAAAGTGTTTTTTCACTTTTTCACCCTGAAAATATCATTTTAATGGAAAACTTTAAATCACAAAGTTGTTTCGTACATAATTACCAACAACTTTTGTATAAACAATTTTTTTGTATTACTTACCGTTTTCAAGTTATAAATTGCGCAGGTATGAAAAATCCAATAGAGCGGTTTTGGGCAGTTCACGTACACATTTGCAGTGCACATTTCAATGGACGTTTTACTATTTTTTATTTTTTTTCATGATTGAAAAACAAAAAAAAAAATGAAAAAAACAGTTTTATTTTTATTTTTTTTCATGATTGAAAAAAAAAATAGTAAAAACGTACATTGAAATGTGCACTGCAAATGTGTACTTGAACTGCCCAAAACCGCTCTATTGGATTTTTCATACCTGCGCAATTTATAACTTGCAAACGGTTAAGTAATACAAAAAAATTGTTTATACAAAAGTTGTTGGTAATTATGTACGAAACAACTTTGCCATTTAAAGTTTTCCATTAAAATGATATTTTCAGGGTGAAAAAGTGAAAAAACACTTTTTTGAGACTTCAGCGCCACCTACAATGCGCATTTTTTGTTGTACGAGATTGCAACAATGACATAAATTGTAGTACTCAACGCCCTCTACAATTATGGTAAAAAAAAAGTTTCTAAAATGCATACAAAATAAGAAAAATGCGTTTCAAAAAATTTTTGACGGTTTTTTTGAGTTTTTAAAAAAACGCCTACGAGTTGAACATGCCCATCGCCAAGGTGGCTTACTGACGTCATTTGGCAACAGAAAAAACAAGACTTGCCCTTTAGGTTTTTTTTTCAACCCTCAACCTACAGATTGACTGTACTAAGAGGCGTGTCGCGTTGTATAATGCCTGCCTCCTCTATACGTCGACGAATGCGCCCGCGTATGTCGACAGATGCATCAGGAGATGGATCACCACAAGCCGATCACACGTCTGATGACGTCTGTAGGTAATTCAATTTGTGTTAATTCTCGACAGATGCAACTCACATGTAGGCAACCTTAAAAAATATAGATATTGAGATCGTAGCTGCGACAGACTTATTTGTTTAGTACTTGTAACTAGTACTTGAGGAGCATCGCAGTAAAAATATAAAAAATAAATGGAAAAGAAGCTGGTGGATGCTGGTTATTTTTTGGATTCCACAGGCAGTGTTTTGCTTGAATACAACTCGAGGAATTTAACTGTTTGGTCTATGCATATATCTATTAGCCATTTCAGTGTAAAATAAATGCAAGCACACGTCCACTCTCATGCGCAACTCCAATACTACAGCTGCGTCGTGAGACGTGTGGACAGGCGCCGGGCGTTCGGTGCCGAATCACTTTGTTGCGTGCCACAAAAACCGGCAGCAAACAGCTTGGTGGCAAACGCATGTACCGGACGTATAATACCTAACAGAGATGAGCAAATTACCCCTTCTACACGTATAAGGTACGAACGCATCCGAAGGTGGCATCTGCAGATACATTAAGCGGCCTACTGTCATGCCTGCCGCAGGGACAATCTAGGGTGCACGGCGATCGGGGCAATATCGGCTTGTCTCTACACACTTGCCTGCTATACAGTGTTCGGGGGTATGTTGAGTTAAACACACGCGTTGATGATGGTCCCAGTGTTATCAAAAAATCTGAAAATCGGCAGGCAGGGCCTTGGCTTTTTCTATGGTGTTACCGCAAAAAAGAAAATACTGAGTGATGAATTGGCAACAGAAATAAATGTATTGTAAATAAGTAATGTTTATATTACTAGAAAAAAATTCACGCGGACCTGGCAGCAGACGGAACTCGAACTCGCACCCTTCGCTATCCGGGCGAACGCACTGATCAATTATGCTACCGCGGCCCTGACGGCCGTATCGAATTCATTCTAGCCTTTCTTAAGCTGCAAGGCAACGCTATCTCTTCGCATTATCAGTAACCCACAATGTCAAATGAATACCTTTCTTTACAAGTATTAAATATTTGAAAGAAGAAATAGCAATAAAAGTTATAATTTTAATTTTTTAAGCATGTAACTGCTCAATGTTTGAATTTAAATAAAATATTACAAGAAAAAATAAAAAAAATGGGTGCGTGTACTTATGTAGGCACGTGAGAAGTTATCCTTCTTTGGCATCGTTTAAAATTAGTTTTTAATTGCATGCAAATAAATAATTACAATAAATTAATAAAAAGTCTGGAAAAGGACACAGTCAATAAAGTTCAGTTTTAATTTAAAAAAATAAATAAATAATCAAAATATTCAATTAAAATCGCTACTGAATATAATTTATTAGAACATATGTGATTTGCACTTGTATGAAACTCAAACACGTATTCCGAATATACAAACTAGAAACATGTGGATAAATATTATAAATATGAATACCTATAACTGTTACTTTATTACAAAAAATAAAGATGTGGTTTTTGGTTCTACTACACCAATGGTCAAGAGATGGCGCTGTAGTCTCCTGAATCGCGCTTTGGTTCGGTTGTACCAGATTAATAAATACTTTTGATATTATAAATATGAATACCTATAACTGTTACTTTATTACAAAAAATAAAGATGTGGTTTTTGGTTCTACTACACCAATGGTCAAGAGATGGCGCTGTAGTCTCCTGAATCGCGCTTTGGTTCCGTTGTTCCAGATTAATAAATACTTTTGATAGGCCTTCACAATGCAGTCGTTAGCACCCACTAAATAAAGATTCTATTTCTATTTTGTTGGTAGATTTTCTTAATGTGCGGTAAACACAAAAGTAACGCAATGATCGCTTTAGCGACCAACTTCATGCTGTTAAAATTTTGTGTTACAGTGATGCGCGCGCATCTTAAAATTTCACTCTCATCATTTTTTCATAACGCGCCTAAAGAAGTTTAACTTCAAAAACTATTTCTATTTTTCTAGTAATATTTTCTTTAGATTTTAACATCAATCAGTTAAATACTAAATAAATAAAAATTATTAAAAAAAAATTGTTTGTTTTATTTATCCGACATGTGGGGCTGGTCTTTATATACTTCGATTATTCGTGTCCAAACTTCATGCTCATTATGATCTGCTGCCATCTTGGTCAAAATACGCGCACTCCGTGTGACAGCTACCAACCGACTGATTGAGAAATTGCCCCAATCGCGCTACACACGCGGCAACGTGCAGGGCGGCAGGGACATTCTAGAGACTCGCGCTCCTGCCGCCCTGCCGCAGGCCCGATTTAGAAAATTGCCCCTACTTGCCTACACACATCACAATTCAGCAGGCAATTAAGGGTCATCCCCACTCTTACACCCTTGATTGTCCCTGCTAGTGATGTTACGGTCTTGAATTTTGACAAACCGGATTTGATCGGTTAGTAATACATGCAAATCGGTTTCCGAACCGAACCGCCGAATTTTCAGTAAACCGCGGTTTGAACCGGTTTGAACCGTTTGATGAGTTGACGAATGAAACTTACGGAACAACAGGTGCTATTTTTTTTAATTCTACATATTTTATTGATATTACATCGTGCAAATATTTAAAGGTAATTGAAAAATAACAATTAAAATATGAAAACAAATAATAATAATCAGAATTAAAAATGTCAAAATAAAAATAAACAAATACCGTGTTTAAAAAATTACAAAAAAAATATATAAACTCTATTAATTACATAAAATCGTACTTCTTAACTTTGAGAATAAAATACAATTTTAATAATCAACAATATAATAAATACGTAACTTATTTTTGTAAAATCATTTGAGTCGTAGAAACTTTCTTTGGTACAAACAACAATTAAAAAGTTTTCTTACAACTATTTAGGAATAATATTTGGTCTATTTTTTTAGAAGCTGGGCAATTACGTCGCATATTACATAATAATGAAAACAAAATTACACCGTCAAGTTAGTCAAATCTACCAGAGTCCGTTTCATTTCGGTTCGGTCGGTAAGTCGGTTATGGCTGTTGTATTTAAATTGTCGATGCGCGCTAACCGTATCCGCTGCTGTAAGTCGGTTCGTATTGGTCGGTCAAGTTTTATTAGGGTCGGTAAAGCACGTCAGGAGCCGCACGCGATTTGTGGATGGCGGCATAAACAAGAATTGACAGGCGCGCGTGCGCGCAGCGCGATACGAACGAATGCCACAGTAGAACCGGTTTACAAAGACGTTAACCGATTCAACTCGGTCCATGCTCAAACCGGTTTGAACCGGTTTGAAAAGTCAAGTCGTTGCATCTCTAGTCCCTGCGGCAGACATGTCAGTAGGCCGCTTTAGTCGACGTGTAAAGGAGGCATAAAAACCACACTGAGCGCCGCGGTCGCGAGCGTGTTTTTAATGTGTTCTTTGGGGCGATAGATTACACGCGCTACACGTCGGGACGCGTTCCCAGTGGGAGCCTTAACAATTGGATTGGAGATTCAAATGGAACAATAACTTGGATGTATTATGAAATCAGCTAAGTTTTCGGGACCCATTTGAAACTGGGACAATCCTGGTCAAACGGTGACTATAGCAAGCATGAGAAATTTAATGATTTTATTTCAAAATTTAAAATATACAAGAAAGTTAATGTCATAGTCTTAAAAACAAAGCAACACCTCCACATTAATACATACTCGAATCTGTCATTTCCATAAAATACAGCTAAACCCTCAGCAACTTCTTTACCCTTCTTGTAAAATAAACCATTCAGTCCTTCATTTTTCATCAGAGGTTGTAAATGATGGTTAAATATTTTTGAATCAACTTCTTGAAGACATATTATATCTGCATTGTAACCTGAGCAATAAAGGCATAATTAATTTTCACCTTTCTAAACATACATTTATGCAGACAGAGTGTATGTTTGATTTTAATATATTATTTGACACATCTCTTACCCTGCAATTCCTTAAAAATAAGAAGTTTTCTATAATCAATGTGTAATGCATATGGTGGACAATATGGATGTAATGATGTTCTTGTGAAATCTGAATCACAATACAAATCTGCCAATATGTTATATGTTACACAGCGAAAACTGAAATAATAAAATTTCTTTTTTAGTTTCTTTTATAATGAATAAACCTTATGTCATAAAATAATTGTGACAACCTGATTAATGTTTCTTATGTGCCTTTTATTTCCAAAACCATATTGTAAAAAATTCTGGGAATAAAATTATTATTATTATTTATAAACATACCATACCTTCTATGTTTTAATTTTTCATTTGTAAACTTGTGTCTGGTCTCAAAAGGGCATGTTCCTGGACCAGCTTCAACAACATTTTTTGAAATAGTTTCAACTGCAGGGCCTTTCTTATATCCATTACCTATAATGTTTTATATTTATTTATTTACTAATTTAGTACACACGCAATAAAACAGATAAGAAGAACAGGTACAAGAAATTTATACAAGGGCACTGCTTATTTCATATTGAAATTTCTTCCAGCACTCCTAAAGGAAATAACTTAAAAAAGGCAGTCAGCGTGTGCCTCCCGAATATAAATAACCTAATACAATACTTACATATCAGCATAGATGTACAAATAAACATATTAAATAAATAAATAAGTGTTAAAAATGAGAAGCTATACAGTTCAGAAACAGTGATTCAAGAGGATAGATAGTTTTCCTTCAACCTTATTTTAAATGTAGCAAAATTTGGGCTGTCTCTGATTCCTGCTGGCAGCAAGTTTCACAAGTGGACAGCATGTACCATAAAAGAGTTTGATATAAATTAGATTTCATGCATAGGACATTTGAGTAGGGATGGGACCTGCAAGGAATATTAGGCGAGTGGGTGAAAGAAAACCGCTCCCGAAGATAGGAAGGATTGTAGAGGAGACAAAGGATTCTGACATTCCTGCGCATGGGGACGTATGTGGAGCCACTTGAGTTTCGAAAGTTGGAGACATGACTATACTTACGATGCCCAAAGATGAACCAGATAGAGATTCTGCAGGCTCTCAAGTTTATTAAGTAATACCGCCGTAGCAAATAAATAACAAGTATCAGCATAGTTGAGAGGTGGAAGAATAAGAGATTTTGCAAGGGCAATTTTAGTCTGTAGGGAAAGGAAATTTTGCAAAAAAAGTAATGTGTGAATAGAAAAATACATTTTACGACTAACATTAGCGGCGTGAGCTAGGTTGGAATCAATTGTGACACAAGGGATATTGATATGACCTATGGATACTGGTGGCATGTGAAAGGAACGGTAGGAATGTGAAATATACCTACTTCCTATGATGATTGCCTGTGATTTACTTGGATTAACTAAGAGACCAAAAAATTGTGCCCAAGTACTAATATGGTTTAGTGGAGTCATTGCCGTCAATATTGAAATGACAGTAAAGCGGCAAATCATCTGGTAGAGATGAAAATTGGAGAAAATTACTCTAGTAACAGAGTTAATAAAAATCGATAATAAGAGTGGTGAGAAAACACCTCCTTGAGGTATGCCGACACAGAGGTCACACCCATCAGAGGTTGAATCATCAAGGCGAACACACTGTGAGCGATCTCTAAGATATGAATTGAACCAAAAAAAGCAGAAGTAGAGACATTAAGGAACGAAGAATGTAAAATATATAATTAGCTACCTACTTAATATTATTATACCAGCCCCCTAACATCAGTACCATGATATGTTATAATATAACATGTTATTATCATGCTCAATTGTCAAATGACTACAGAGTTTGACTTGTCAGTTAGGCATATTAAGAAACATGATATATAAATTGTGGTGCTCATGCTTTGGGGACTGACTCAGTTATAAAATTATTTTAAAATGTCATACAATAACTATAAATTATAGGTAGCGGCAAACTTCTTGAGCAAAACCACTGACAAATAAACTTACAAAGTGGATATTATTGAATGTAAAATTGGTACTTCCTGGTTTCCTTGCGATGGTTATTACTCAAGAAGTTTGCTGGGGTGTTTACCTGGAATACATTCTAGTTTAAGTTTCATCCCTATGTCTTGAGGTGTTGGGCTATATATGAAAGTTTCACCCACCAAGTCCCACTTTACATGCAAGTCACTAATATGATTTCCTTTTTCATTGATAGTTGATCCTTTATACCAATTGAAACTACACGAATTCTTGAGGGCATGTTGAATAGTAAAGTTTTCAGGATATACAGGGAATCCTACTAAAATACATAGTGGCAGATTAATACTGACCACCCACGGTGCATTAAATACAATTTCATAAATGCTATCATGAATTTTTAACTTAACAGGGCCTTTTGCTGCAAATAATTCTAGACAAGTGCTCTTTTCATTGAAGGTACCATCAATTGAGTCACACAACTTAACATTTACTTCTGAGTTATCACAAGAGGATTTTTTCTTATTTGATTTCTTAAGAACTTTTTCAACATTAGTACCGATACGAAAAAATAAGGTTTCCAATGTTTCTGCAGGTTTTCTACATAGATTAAATTGTCTAAAAGAGTCCTTTACTTTTAACCAAAATGTAATGTCTATTTTATTTTCATTTTCTGTATACCTAAAATAACACTTATCTAAATTCATGTTTCTAGACTTCGATAAATTTACTACTGAATAAAATTTATGAGTCACTCGTAGCAAAGTACTGAACATAATCTAAATCTTAAAAAAACAATGGGAAATCGATGATAAATCAAGTACATATCATTAGCTTGCTACATAAATTGTGATCTGTGCTTAGAATATAAATACTACTTAGGGATGTTCCGATACTAGTAAATACGAGTAGGTACTCGATACTTTTGATTCGATACCAAGTATTTATAGCATCGAATCAATCTTGCGATAAATACTCGGTATCGAAACAGAAGTACTTGGTATCAAATCGAATCAGCATCACCATTTAAAAAAGATAAAATTTCCGAACGCTGACAGTATGAGAGAGCAAAAGCCCTTTCGCTCGGTTACCGGTATTCATCGCATAGCGGTGTGGTTGCGCCAGGCGAGCCGAACTCGTCCGACTTCATCCGAGCCCGAGCCGAAAACGAGAGAGCTGTCCGCCCGCCATGTAAGTTGTCATCATTGTGAATTTTCAAACTGTCAAGTCGAGATTTAATTTGAATACACAAATGATTGTTTTCAAGTAATTTTATTTATTGTAATCATCGGATTATTATTCCAATGTTATCGTGGCACCAACAAAATCAATAAAATTTTACCAAAACAAATGAAACAATTGCAAAATGTAAACAATGTTTTAAATTTGTGAATTCTGTGTGAACTTTGGATAAAGGCAAATTAGAGAAAAAGCAAATAAAGGGACCAATGAAAGGTAGGATCCTATACTTTTCTTTATTGCGACTGCTCTCCTAAAATATTAAATAATCCCTTTGAATTCCTAAAATGTTAAAAAAAAGTGACGCAAAACATTTATATTCTCGTTTTTCTCACTTTTGTTTTAATTTTTGTTCTTCAACGTTTATTGTTTTTACTTTAGTTTCCTCAAAGTGAAAAATAAATAAAAATAAGTGCTAAAAGTATCGATATCAGTAAGTATCGATACTTTAGGAGTATTGAGTACTATCGAAATGAGTAGGTATCGATACCTTGATGGTATCGGACATCCCTAACTACTCTTTGCCACAGACTAGTTAGAGATACTACGTATCTCTTTGCTTACCATGTCATGCAAGAAGGTTATACATGTCATGTCATCGTTTTTTTTTTTGATTTCCCTTATCTGGGAAGGCAAGGGGAATAATGCCCATACAGCCTAGTTATTAATTTATTTATTTTACGTATTTAAATTTTATAAATAAAGGTTTTTGAAGCATTTTCTATTAGTCTTCTTATTGTTGTTGTTTTTTTTAAATGTACGAGTGCTCAATATCCCTGAGAAACAAAACCCAATGATTGTATTACAATGATTACGAGCATGCATTATCTGGCATGATTGTCTAAACCTAAACTTAAAGGGGATTGGGTAATTTTGTATGGAACTTGGCTTGATTTTTTTTTCAGCGGCCACTGAACTAATTATGATTGTTTGATAGTACTATATATGTGAATTGTTCTTAGCAAAGAAGTAGTTCCATAACTAATATCGGAACCAAGATATTTGATCTTGAATTCTAACAAAAGTCATATGATATAAAAGCTCATTAAATTATCTCCTGAGATTATTATACATGTTTAGTATTGTGGTAACGCTTTCTAAAAGCTAACATTAATGAAAAAAAAATTAACAGATCAAAAACTTGATCTAGAGTACCTAGAGTACCTACCTGGACCGCGGTAGCTGGTGCTCGATGACGCTGGGAAGTTCTTTGAAAGAATTCTGTCGGGGCTAATATCGAGCACCTGAGGGAGCCGGACCCAAATCTGGCAGAGCACCAGTTCGGGTTCCGGCGAAACCGGTCCACGGTGGAGGTGGTGGCCCTTTTGAAGGGGTGGATCGAGGCGGCCACTCGCCGGGGAGCGACTGCTATTGCGGTGTAGCTAGACGTCCGCAACGCCTTTTACAGTCTTCCCCCCAAAAGAATAACTGCCTTCATATTTGACAAAAAGTACAGTATACTTCTACTGGATGACAACGATACCAAGGTATCGTACAAGGCTCTCATGATCTACACCGACAGCTCTTAAACCTCATCGGGCACGGGCGCGGGTGTTTTCTTTGAGGACCTCAATATACATATCGCTTTCCCCTTAAGCCCGTACAACACAGTTTTTCAAGCTGAATGAGGCAAGAGTGATCCTTTCAAGAAAGGTAACAAAACAGGAAATACGAATACTGTCCGAAAGCACATCAGTCCCTTTTTTTTGTGTCTGGAAAATACCGTACCGTACTACCGTACCGTAGTAGCGAGAAGAAGGTATGTGGGACTCCTCCCTGTCCTCTTCAGCCAGCCCTGGAGCTCGCTGATGTGAACAGGGCCCTACCTACGCCCTGAACAGGGCCACTAAAAACCAGACAATACTCCTGCACCGTCACCCGACACGCACTATGAGGACCGCGGTCCCCCTAGTGCATGCCGAGAGGGCGGGTGTGGTCGCGGAACCCGTCTCCGAATGGCCGCGTAGCAAATCAGTCCTACAAGCTTTAGATGCCTGTTTAGTCAAATCGAGCCTCCTGCAAGAATGCCACCAAACCCTTAGCACGGTAGGGTAAAGCAATTCTATTACTATCCAATGGATAAAGGGACACAGTGGATCACGCAGTAACGACGCTGCGGATGAGCTGACCCGGAAGGGGTCCGATTCGACCCCAACAGGTCCCGAACCAATCGTCCCGATACCAGTTAGCTGTCTCGTAAATAAAATCTGCGAGCACACAGCCGCATTACACCAGCAACACTGGCTCGATCTGGAGACGTGCAGGCAGACCAAGCTCGCTTTGCCACGGGTGAACGCTGTCCTCTCCAAAACTCTTCTACAGCTAAGCAAACCTACATTGCACATGGTAACAGGTGCTATTAACGGACATGCACATTTTAACAGACATCTTTTTAACTTAGGTGTCACGGACAACCCTCTATGCAGAGGATGCATGGAGGCAGAAGAAACAGCTACTCACGTTCTGCTGGAATGCAACGGAGTGGCCGAATACCGGGCGAAATACCTCGGCTCACAGGGAAACCTCCAAGAGGCAGTCACAAATGTGAAGGCCCTGGGGGCGTTCCTGATGAAGCTGGGCTGGCTGGAGTGATTCCGGCTATACACCCTCCTAACGCAAAACAGGCGCCATAAGGACGTCGAGTTGCGGAAACGCCGTTGAAAGAAGAAGAAGAGAACAGTCTCCCTCACGAGTGTATTATGGAGGCACTACATTTTCACTGCGTGCCTCCATACCTGCGAGCCATCGTGGAGGACTACCTGCAGGGGAAGTCAGTCTTCTACGAGTGGCCCGATGGAAGCGTATGCTCTCGGGCCATGGCCGCAGGGGTACCCCAGGGGTCAGTGCTGTGTCCACTGCTCTAGAACCTGCGGTACGACTGGGTGTTGCGAGGCAGCATTCTTCCCAGCATGGAGGTTGTCTGCTTCGCCGACGACACGTTGGCGGCGGCGAAGGCAAAGTCGGTAGAGGAGGCGGTTCGCCTGGCGTCCGTCGGCCTCTTTTCCGCATAGTGCAGATACTGACCGGACACGGATGCTTCAGTTACTACCTGTACCGTATCGCCCGCCGGGAAGAAACGCCGCAGTGCCATCACTGCGGCGCCCGCAGCGCTGCGACCTAATCGCGGCACTGGGAGGCGGAACCCTCTCGCTGAGGAGCATGGTAGAGGCCATGCTCAGTAGCGAGACGGCATGGAAGGCGGCTGCCTCCTTCAGCAAGAACGTCTTCTCGTAGAATGAGGCAGCCGAGAGGGAGCGGGAGGATGATCCCCTGGCCGCGCCCACCCGCCGAAGAAGAGCGGGCAGGAGAGGACGAGTGTGTGCCCTGGCTGCGCCCGTCCCATGACCCTGCCCGTGGGAATCCCAAGCTCCCTATCCCGAGCCCGGCACGGTGCATTGCGCCGTGCCGGACAGCTACACTGGCATATATATAGAGTTGACATGATCTTCACATACACGAGACCTAAGTGGAATATCCAAAGACTGATGTGATTGGCTGAGGCGGTCAAACCAGACAAAAAAGGGTCTGTTAAACCGTTATTAACTTAAATGGTAAGTTTTAGACAACAATTCATACAAAAAAGCACGTAAGATTTAATGACACGAATTTACGTTAATTCTATTTTTAAAAAATCATATCTTGGCTTCGATGTACTTTACAGATATATGGCCATAATATTTTATTTTTAATTTTTTAGTTCTATTCATTAAAAAGCAAAGCATTCGTGGCCGCAAACACCAATATGTATCTAAATAAAATTAGATGGTCTTTGGATTATCAAATACGAATTCGAACATGATGATCTCGATGGCTCAAGTGGTAAGCGGTTTTGGTCTACGATTGTGAAAGTTCCTTAACGTCCACGATTGTAGACCGAAGTCGCTGGTTGCTTTCCAATTACATTTAGCGCATTATGCGGCATAATGCTTAACGTTGAGTGTTCCAACTACAGCAACGCTTCGCACAATTGAGCACTCTCAAAAGTAATGCTTTCGTGTGATGCGTGCAATCGTACCAACTTAGAGACAGAAAATTAACAAGTGTTTTTTCTTTAAGTTGGCATTGATCGAAATGTTTTATTTATATGTTATCATTAGTAATATTATTTATTGTTGAAAAATTATTAAAGCTTTCGTTTCATTAAATAGTTTTTTTTAAATAATCAAAGTTCATTCAAGCTGTTAAAAAATAAATAAGTATGGATGAAGGTACAAACATTGACTTTTTTTTTCAACACTGAACTTAGCGCACTCTGCTGGTGCATTTGAAAACTAATTCACGTTCCAATTAAGCATCAACATAATTCGGCATTGTGCGGCACATTATGCTCTGTAATTGGAAAGCAACCATAACCTGCAGAGCGGTGTGAGCATGAGAGCCAAAACCGTCGCCTGCTCCCCACGCAACCCTTGCATGTGTGCGCCCACATGCAAGAGTCGCATCGCCCACTTCTTATGGCACTACTATGGAACGTCTCCCATCTGGCTCAGCCACTATTCCAGTTCCGTCCAGACATAGCGCTGCGCATGCCATAACACTCTCTCTTGTGGTCTTTCGGTAGGGTACCCTAGGACTTGCCTCCTGCAGAAGCACAAGCCCTCATATTTTTATATTGTTATGATTATGTCAATGCCACAGGCGTTTCACGCCCTTACGCCGGTGTGAGAGAGTATCTTTTTACCTCTTTTTATATTGTTATGATTATGTCAATGCCACAGGCGTTTCACGCCCTTACGCCGGTCTGAGAGAGTATATTTTTACCGTGCCGGTAAACACAGGTACATAGGCTAATATCAAGAGCACAGGCAAGCGCTTATTTTTACACTTACAAACTTTTCATGAGATGCAAACAGGCTATTACTTATGTGAACTATTCTACTACTTAGCTTTCGTTATATTCCGTTGGTTCTCGAGCTCGTAGACAGGCACGCATCAGGTAGGCACATTTTTATGGCACATAACAGTTATTAAATAATAAACTCCTCTCTCCTTCTAACCCATACTAATGTATGAAACCGATGCGTCACGAGTCACGACATGCCACGATACGTATGTTTCCGGCTTTATAGTAGAGGTCATTAGCAAAAAATTTAGTCCAGTGAACTAAGGGTCAAAACTTCAATCAAAATGAAAATTTTGCCCTACATCGTCCTTTTACTAATTTAAATAAATCAGCTAATAAAGTTCTTAAATTTTGTACCTTGTTGGAAAGCTTATGAAACTAATTTGTCAATATACTAATTTGTACACCAAATTCTATACAATTATTTTTCATAAATTTACGGCGAAATTCAGGAAAAATACAAAAAATATAAATTATTCTTACTAAAGTCCTTTTATTTCTGACATTGTGTAAGTTCTGGGCAAGCATTTTTAATGATCACAATTTTCTGAGCCTTTACAAAAGTATCAATTCAATCTTTAGAGTGGAGTAGTTTATTCACAATTATTGGATTATGGCAGCTAGTCAGAAAAAATATAAAAAATCGAAGGACCGTTACAATTCGGTAACCATCCAGTTTTGACCCCTAGTTCAGTGAACTTAATTGGTTGCTAATGACCTCTAGTACAACCCCTTTCAAGGAATAGGTCGAGTTTTCCTGTCACCTGTATATTGATTCTATTCAAAATATCGATTATTTTCATTAGCGTGAATAGAACTTTTAATATATCGTTTAAGAGCGGGCATCCCTAATCCCTACCATAACGACGACGTGTCAATTGCATTGTACGCGTTGCCAGCCAACTGGGACAAATACTAGTTTGAGTTCAGTGAATGTTCACAAAGATTTTAGAATTTTAATTGCAAGAACTTGAGCTTCATAATTACGATGGTAAGATGCAACCTTTAATTTTATTTATAAAAAAAAATACCGAAAGCTGGTCATTTTGTTCAACAGTTCATTTTCTTCTTAGCCACCTTCTCCAAGTTCTACATCTGTTGGTTCTGGAAGCCGATCTCCAAGCAAGGCAACAGCCGCTCCACGGTCTGCTAGTGGAAGTACAGTTCGCCAACGTAAAACCACTACTACAACTACGGCTGCTAGGAACCGCAGCACTGGTGCTGGTACAGGAGGAATGTGGCGCTTTTACACTGATGACTCCCCTGGCGTGAAAGTGTAAGTTATATCAGTTCTATTTTTGTTTTAAGAATGATTAATTGACTTCGTTTTTTTTACTATTGTATATTCAATAGGCGATACTTTGACCCAATTTTCAAACTTTGTTTTACTTTTTCCAGTGGTCCTGTACCAGTGTTGGTGATGTCACTACTTTTCATAGCTTCAGTGTTTATGCTACACATTTGGGGCAAATATACTAGAGCATAAAGATATGCTATGTAGATAAGTTACAGTGCATTTGTGTGAATGAAAGTTTGTTGAATGTTAATGTTTTAAATTAAATTAAGATTTAAAATAAGTATACTTTTATCTCTATTTATTTCAAAGCCAATTTATTACATCGTTAAACTGATACATAATGTTTTCATTACTTATTCTGTCTATGTTGAAATAATAAAAATAAATATTATTATTTTTCTTTCAAGAGGTTGTAAATATTCCTGGAACTTTTATAGTAAATATAACAATCTATAGAAAGTTTGATTCTTTTCATTTATTTAAAAGGACACAAATTTTATATTTTATAAAAAAAATGCCCATTAAAACAATCTATAGAAAGTTAACTTTTTTTTAAACTATGTCTGGGGGCCTACTTCTTATCAGCATTGCTATAGGTTATACCTAATTTTATTTTATTATTTCTGATCACTGAAGGTTTTTTCTTTTGCGTTGGTAATGACAATATTAAAGAAAATGTAATAAAAAGCCATACAATATGCCAAAAAGTAATGAAAAGAATTTTGAATACATTTCATTTATAGATATGTATGTTATTCCAAGATTAATAATATTATTTTTCTTTGAGTATTAAGATTACCCATCATAATCAATTCAACTGCTCAGTGATAAACAAAAATGCTTATTTTAATTAATATAACAGCAATTGCAATTGAGACAACTGTTAACTTTTTTTTAAGATAGTACTGTCACTTTCTTTTATTTCAAAGTGAAAAGTTTTTAAATTATAAGAAAATTACCAAATCATTAAAATATTTTTATTGAATTTTAATACAAATACAAATGTATATTAAGTAAAAAAAATGAGAAACTTATTTACAATATCAGCCTTATATTTAAAATTAATGACATGTAAACTTAAAAATATCAAGCAAATACAATGCTAACCTCACACATACGTTTCAACTCTTCTGCCTTTAATTCTATCAAAAAATTGATGCCAAGATACTAATGTTTTTCCTGACCAGATCCAAAAACTTGATGTGATTCCAACTATCATTGTCATTAAATATTTGATCATGAAAACCTCAAACTTGGGTCGTTCCAGTTCATGGCGAGTAAAGGGGCACGGAATTGAATAAAGAGGAGTTGAACACATATCTCTGTGCCAGGTTATCATCCATTTGTCAAAATGTGCATGTTCATAGAATAAACATGCTATGACAATTAAAGCAGGTACTGTATACAAAACTCCAAAGGTTCCAATACGAATCATTAATTTTTCCAGTTTATCTGTTTTGGTGCCATCATGTTTCATAACAGTTCTAATACGAAACAAGGAAACAAAACCTGCCAGTAAAAATACAGTACCTAATACTAGGTAAACACAAAGTGGAGCTAAAACAAAACCTCGTAATGCCTCTCCATCCCATAGTCCAACATAACATACCCCTGACAGAACATCACCTGAAAGAAACAAACAAAACATAAAATTTTTAATTGATTTACATCAAATTTTGAATTTACTGAAATTCAAACTAAGTGTATAAATGATGTCTAACTTTTTAAGACCTACCATCTACTTTTCCCATTGCCAAAATTGATATAGTCTTGATTGCTGGAACGGCCCAAGCAGCCAAATGGAAATATTGAGAATTAGCTTCTATAGCTTCATGACCCCATTTTAATCCAGCAGCTAAAAACCATGTTAGTGTCAGAATCACCCACCAAATACTTGAAGCCATACTAAAAAAATAAACAACCATAAAAAGAATTGTGCATGGTTCATGTTTTGTTCCTTGTGTAATAATAGATGTATTGGGGAGTCTTGTTCCACTGATAGTGGAGGGGAAAGGTCCTTGACAACTAATGTTGTCACCTGCACTCCAACCCATAACATATGCAGCAGCCACCAGCAAATAACAAACTGACAAGAATATTATAGGTCTTTCAGGATATCTAAATCTGTCAGTGTCTATGAGAAATGTAAGGACAGTAAAGAGACAGCTGAAAGTGCACAGAGTTGCCCATGTACCAATCCACATTCTAGAGAATTTTTTTTCATCTTGGGTGAAAAACATTCCATTACAAGGTGCTCCACAATCATTTTCTATTTTGTCACCAACTTTCAGAGAATATTCTAAGTCCAAACTTTTAGGAACTTTAAATTGAACAGGACAAACAAATCCATAATCTTTGGCTCTGAGAAGCTTAGTTGGGTCCTTTTCAATGTCAGCCTTGAAATCTACTTTTGATAATTTAGGTTCATTGTGTTTCCACGATTCATGGGTTGCATTATTATAACCAACACATATGACACTCTCGTCTGTGGCCACTGGGAATTTTGCACATTGCAACTGTTCTGGCCATGACAATCCATACCGCATCATTAATTCAGCACAATTGTGTTTGGCAGATTCACATAAATGACGACATGGCGGTATAGGTTTGTCCAATATTGTACAAACAGGTGCGTAGACTGAACACAAAAAGAATTTCAAATCTGGAGAGCAATTAATTTTGAGTAGAGGTGTAAATTGATGAACTTCTGGTCCAGCATCTTCTTGCTTGGCGTGATTGAGTATGTTAGGAAATATAGTTTCATTATATCTTATTTGTTGACAAAATGGAATTGTAATAGGTTCACATCTTCCATGATGAGGTAAGGTATCTCCCTGATAAACTGTAACATGTGATGTTTCGGAATTCACAAACACATGTAACACCTCTATTATAAACAAGATCCAAGGAATTTCCATTATGATGCTATTGAACAGTATCTTTGTATATCACATGCTGTTATTTAAAACTGTAAAAATTTATCCATGGCTTCATAGTTGCTCAATTGAATAATTAAATAAATGTAAAAAAACAAGTAGTTGCCGATTAGCTACAACATTGAATTGTTTTACTGTTTGTTTCGTCCTGTTTGTTTTTTTTTTAATTTATTCTGGCCTTGAATACTCAGTCCTTTAGCCGTTTTTTTTTTGTTTAAAGCAGTGTTGCCTGTTCCAATAAAAAAAATCGGAGTTTACAGGAAAATATAGTAGATGTGTGGAAAGAGCAGCAAGAAAAAACAATAGAAGCAGGGGTATGTACAGGTTGCAACAGTGGCGTAGCATGGGGGGGGGGGGGGGGGCGGGTGGTGCGGCGCTGCGGAGGTGGCAGATAGAGAAAAAAAATTAAAATATAAAAAAAAGTTAATTTCTTTCAGTTTTTTTTCGTCATTTTTTTGTTGTTGTTACCAAATACCCAGGTACCTATGCAGATTCTATGCATGGGTGATGCAAGCGCAAGGTTTCTCAATAACTATTATTTAGGAAACTTATTTCGTTTCAAGTTTCAATGTTATTTTAAATAAATATGTCTCCTTACGCATTCTTTGTACTCACGGAGCACCCCCACTAGAGTCCGCATACAAGGGCAAGCGCTTACGCCAAGCTTAAGTAGTATTTTACCTATGCGTGAGGCACGCCTACAGACGTTTTCTCTGTAATTTTTCTAAGTGATATTGTGATAGTCTACCTTCTACTCTATGTCAAAAAATGTTAATTTCACTCTTAGGTTAGTGTTATTCAATAAAAGTACTCTTTTTACCATGCCTCAATTTTTTTATAATGGATTGCTAAAATAAGAGGGCGGCAAATTTGGAATCCGCACCGGGTGCTAGTGACCTATGCTACGCCACTGGGTTGCAACTCTCTAGAATTGGTTAATCAAATAGTCCAGCAACTAATGTCTTACTATAGCTTCTTCCGGCCTTCAAAGCTCTTTTTTTGTAACAAAAACATATATATCTAAGGGAACATTCTTGATGGCAGAACCGAAAAAACAAACACGGCACAGGCGACTCGAGGGCATAGCATAGCATTTTACACAATTTTAAAAATAAAATTGTGCTTTATTCAAATTATGAGTATGAGCCCGATTTAAGAACATCTGTGTTGGATCGCATCTCCGGCGGCCGCAGAAAGGACGCCTTTGAACAGGCCTCGTTAGAAGCCTCAGCGAAAATTCTAAATCGGCAATATGTATTCATGTTTTGGATAAATCAAGAAGAAGTCTACAAGCCTCTACAGATATATCGTGCCATAAAAACGAAGATTACTCCTTCAAACCCAAAAAAACGTGCTATATACCAAATCAGTGGGACGAATGGGTAAAGAATTTACTAAAGAAGAGTTATTGAAAGATTTCAATTTTGAGAAGATAGTTTCAACGAGTGCGACAAAAGATTTGAGCAGTTTTGGTTTGGATATAAGTTCAGGAATATGAAACAGGTTAATGTTTCTATTTGAGCATATGGCACTATGTCAAAGTCTATTAATAGTGAATCTTGGACAGTCAGTCAAAAGATAAAGAGGATCTTGAGGCGTCTGAGTGTCACACGGACATGCACTAGATGCAGCAATGTGAAAGCGGTAGAAATAAGAATGGTGCGCACCATGTCCTGTTAAAAATTGACTAAGGAAAAATGAAGAGGAAGAGACGATTACTTAAGAAAAAATTGAGAATCATTGTTATAGAGGGGAATAAATCTCGAGTGTGGGAGCCTTAAGCAGCCTCTTGGTATCGTTCCTCCCACTCTTTGCGAATGCGAATCCTAGAAAGGTGCTTCACATATGTTAATGAGAATCGGTCGTAGTCAGGAGCCCTTCTCAAAGCTGCAGCGCGACCGGCCTCAGCATTGTCAGCATCCGCAGCCTTGTTACCTTCAATCCTTACATGCCCCCTAACCTAACAAAAATGGATATTTCCAAAAGGGTTCGAATGATGTTTGTGGGTACACTTACCCACAAACTCATTCGCGACACTTCGCGGGAGGAGTGATGTTGTTACGCTGACTGAGTGCGTCCAAAGACGATAATGAGTCAGTAAGAATAAGGGTATATTCGTATTTCCTCTCCACAGCAAAGCAGCAGGCTTTGTAGATGGCATAAAGTTCAACCGGGAACACAGTGCAGACTTTGTATAGTTTAAATCTTTTACAAGTGACGGGAGAGGACGAATCCGGGCTATGCAAATATAAGCACGACGGATTCATTCTCCAGTTTGCTACAGTCGGTGAAAATTTGCACGGTATTCGGAAGGCAAGTTTCGTCCACTTTTTGTTGACCTTCAGCAAATAGAGTATTGAATAGTGACGCGATGTGCAGGGTGCAGAAGATTGGAAATGGGTGTAGGGGATTCCCTCATGACGTCATCCGGCAGGAACTGAGTGATTTGAGTTAACCTACTTCTTTCAATTTCGCGTACATGTAGCACTTCCAAATCAAGTGGTGTGAATTGTGCCAGGGCTAAGGCAGCATTAGCTGAAACAGTGCGATAGGCCCTAATTGCTCGGATGGCAAATACACGCTGCAGCGATTGTAATTTACGTCGAACAGTAACTAATTGTGCAAAATGACCCCAAATACCTGCAGCGTAAGTAACTGTAGGTACAATTACGTACTTGTAAATTGATTCGATATTTTTAGGATGAAGGCCCCAGGAAGGCCGAACGAACAAACACATTCGCGTAAACAGACTTTGTGCTTTATGAATGACATGATCCACATGGTGGTGTTAAACATTGATAAACTTGCCCTAGCTGCCTTTTAAGTAAAAGCCAAGGCTTTTGTTTTATATAAAACCATATGGTCCAAAAGTTGATTTGACACCTATTCCCCAATTCGCAACCATGTCTAAAGCTTGTCGAGCATTTCTTTCGAATGTGATGGGATCCTTGGCAGATACTATTAAAAAAACCTCATCTGCATAGGCTTGAATACGGCAGCCAGCAGGAAAGGTCAGGCTGAGAAGACCATCAAGGATAATATTCCACAATGCTGGACCACAAGCACATCCCTGGAGCCTCGCTGGGTCGTAGTGGTAGCAGTGACACCCGCGTGAGATAAAGCTAAGCTTAGCGTCAAGGGTGGTGGTGGTGTGGCTATTTACTTGTCGAGCCGCACAACAGCGAAAGTTTTATATTCTTCTTCCTCTTGTCATGGCTGCATGGAGCAGATGCTCCTGGAAGTTGATATTTGGGAACTAAGGTTATTCTCGGAGTCGTATACTGCCCTCCTTCTATTGACTACTTTTCTGACCTTGAGTCGTTGATTGATTCCATTGCTACTGATTATAGTCACTATGTTATTACGGGTGACTTCAATACTGACCTTTTAATAAATTCACCCTCTTCTCGAAAGCTTCGCTCTTTGATTACGTCGGCAAACTTTTATTTTTTACACCTTAATCCTTCCCATCATAATCTACATACATACATCCGATTCGTGGATTGATCACATTATTGTCTCCTCCTTAGATCATGTCGTTAAATATGGTCAAATCCCTGCCCCATGCTTCTCCAGACATGATCTCATTTATATTGCTTATAATGAAATATCAAAAATTATCTCCATTCGTAATTTTGCGAGAATGGATACGGAAGAACTTAAGCGTGATGCGTGTTTACTTGTTTGGTCTCCTATTCATGAAATGCTTTCGGTCAACGACATGGTCACCTACTTTAACTCTAATAAGGTCCTAAAATTGTTTGACAAGCACGCTCCTGTAAAAGAGGTCAAATAAGACCCCCCGCGCCCTGGATTACTCCTGGTGTGCTTATGGTCATGTGAAAGCGCGACAGAGCATTTCGCATTTACAAAAGATGCCGTACTGATACGCACTGGGATGCTTTTAAGATTGCCAGAAATCGTTGCAATCAGATGGTAAGGAAAGCTAAACGCCATCACATTCATAAGAATATCCTGGAATCTTCTCCGGCGGATACCTGGAATTATCTACGTACTCTCGGCATTGGAAAATCACAACTTCGTCAAAAGCCTTCTTTTCCGTTAGATGAGATCCCAATGGCAAACTTTTCACTGTCTCTGTTCTTTCTTCCAAGGTTCCCTCAACAACTTCACAATTCTGTTTTAGTTTCATAACTGAGGATGAAATCCGAAAGATAATTCTATCCATAAAATCTAACGCTGTAGGCTGCGATAATATAAGTCGTACTATGATCACCTCAATACTAGATTCTGTACTTCCTGTTCTGGCTCATATTTTTAATTTCTCACTAACATCGGCTTCCTTTCCTGATCTCTGGCATAAGGCCTTAACTCTCCCACTACCTAAAAATAATAGTCCCTTTTCCCTTAGTCAATATAGGTCTATCACTATTCTTCCATTTTTATCTAAGATCATTGAAGCTGCAGTCCTCAAATATTTCACTTCATACATTAATTATAATAAATTTCTTTGCCCTTTTCGATCTGGTTTTCGTCCCGGCCATAATACTACTACTGCTGTCACCAAAATCCTTGAAGATGTCCGGGATGGCCAGGGAAATTCTCGTCTGACACTGTTACTTTTTGATAATTGATTTTATAAACGCTTTTAATGCTGTTGATCATGATATTCTCATAGCTGTCCTTTCTACTAGGATAGAACTAGGTTTCTCACCCTCAGTGCAGAAGTGGTTTACTTCTTATCTTTGTGATCGCTGGAAGGCTGTTCGCTTCGATCAGGAGTTATCCAATGGGCGCGAGCTGACTGCCGGTGTTCCACAAGGCGGTATTGTTTCTCCTTTGCTATTTTCCCTTTTCATTATACTCTTACAGAAGTTCTTATTGTTATGGTAAAGGTGTGTCCAAACACGGCGTGCAAGGTGCGCGGCAGCTACGCGCGGCATTCGGGGGACACAAATTTGCCGCGCGACTAGTTTAGACCTTCTGCGCGGCAGTGCTGCGCGGCATGTCCGTGACACGCCGCGCTCTTTATTTCGTATTCAAACCACAATGAAAGCGGCTGCGTGTGTTGTGGCTCTGCTTATTATTCGTAAATTACGTAGAAGAAGGAATAGAACAAAGTGTATTAAAAAAAGGCAGTGTTGGATGCGACCACTTTTTCAACAGAGGACAAAGAATCTGGAAGTGATCTATTACGAAATCAACTACCGAACGCCACAGTTTTTAAGATTATCTCTGGAAGAATTCGAACACATACATACATTGGTAGAACCATTAATAAAAAAAAATGGATACTCACTGGCGCACTGCAATAACGTCGAAGGAGAGACTCGCAATAACGTTACGATATTTGGCTACAGGAGACTCCTATTCCAGCTTACAATACACATTTCACGTATCTAAGCAAACAATATCAACAATAATTCCAGAAGTGTGTGATGCCATAGTGAGAGCTCTTAAGGACATGGTACAGGTAAATATGAACTTTATTACTTAAATTATTTTTATTATTTAGCGTAATATTTTAAAATACAGATTGTTCATAATTAAGTAATAATTAAAAAACAACACAATCATCATTCATCAATCACAATTGCTCTCAACTAAGCCACAATATTAATTTACATCGGTGTCCAAATCGTGAATCAATTGTGTAAGGCCAGTATCCATGTTACTAGAAGATGATGAGTCAAGATCGGTAAACTGTGCAGTGAAATATCCTCGTCTGTTTTCAGCGTTACATTCTTGTGTTGATAATTGATTGAGCCGTTCCATATCAGCTTCGTATAGTATAGTATTTATTGAATGTTTAACTCGCGTAAACATAGTGGCATCATATTTTCTTAGTTCAGCTGCTACGTGCATGCCAAAAGCAACGTAAGGATCATTATTATTACTGTCATTTTGTTTTCGTATTACTTCTAACGCTTCTTCTATCATTTGATTTTCAGCATCATACTCTGCCTCTTGGCGTGTCCTCTTGTTCACTGGCTTTTCTTTTTTTGACGACTTCTTAGTATTTGTATCTTGGCCTCGAGTGCCTTGTTCCGAAGTTCCTGGTTCCGAAGTGCCTTGTTCTGAAATGCCTTGTTCCGGAATAGTTTGTTCAGTATTACCCGGCTCTGAGGGTGAGCCACAATCCTGAAGCAAAAATAGCAAAATAATTAAAATATTATTTTTTTCAGCTACCAGTATCAGAGCAAGATTGGAAGGCAGTAAGTAACGACTTCGAGGAAAAATGGAATTTTCCACACACCATTGGGGCGTTAGATGGAAAACACATAACAATTCAAGCTCCTTTTCGTAGCGGCACTGAATATTTTAATTATAAAAAGTTCTTTAGCATCGTGCTATTAGCATTAGTAGACTCAAACTACAATTTTATGTATGTTAACGTAGGAAGCCAAGGTCGAATTTCAGACGGAGGAGTTTATAAACATTCCGAATTGTATCGAAAGCTAGAAAATAATCAACTTAATGTACCAGCACCACAAATTTTACAAATACCCTACATAACTAACGTACCATATGTAATATTAGGAGATCAAGCTTTTGCATTAAGCACACATTTGATGACACCATTTGCGGGAATTCATCCAAAAGGATCAAAAGAAAGGATTTTCAACTATAGACTATCAAGAGCACGCCGAGTAGTAGAAAATGCTTTTGGAATCTTGTCGGCAAAATTTAGAGTTTTGAGAAGTACAATGATTTTAAGCCCAAAATCAGCCAAAATCATAGTTCTAGCTACTGTTCACTTGCATAACTTTCTTCGCAGAGATTCTTTATTAAAACAATCGAATAATTCAGCCAATGAAGCATCTACCTTTACTCCAAATCAATTTATTAACACTCCTTCTGATATTCGTATTTTTTTGTCAAGATATTTTATGACAAATGGATCAATTGATTGGCAAGAAAGATATTAATTAATTATATAACGTTTGGTAAAAAATGTCCAAAACCATCCTAATGTAATTAATAAACCCTTAGCATTATCTGATTTCATAGATTTTGTAGAATGCGGGCTGTATGTATCACTAGTAATTCCGCCCGCAGCTTCGCCCGCGTGGGCTTCAGGTAATGATATATATTTATATATATAGCCTATAGCTTTCCTCAATAAATGGGCTATCTAACACTGAAAGAATTTTTCAAATCGAACCAGTAGTTACTGGGATTAGCGCGTTTAAGCAAACAAACAAACTTTTCAGTTTTATAATATTAATATAGATACATCAAAACTAATTTTTAAAAGCGGAAAGATTTGTTTCTTTGTTACCTACAATTTAACTCAAAAACTACTCAACCGGTTTCGAAAATTTTTTCACCATTAGATACAAAGCTACATCTGCACCGAGTAACATTAGTTTATAATTTATTAAGAAACAACCAGACCACGTGGGCGAAGCCGTTGGCGGAAAGCTGTAATCTAATAAAAATATTAAAGTAATAGGTAATTACCACTGCATCAATAGGGTTATTCCTGTCATGTAAAAAACTGAATGCTTCATAAGCAAACCATTTAGATTTATAGGCCTTGTTTCTACCTGCAACAGAAAAAAGAACATTATTAAAATAACTGATACATAAGCTGATCTTGTGTCTTATTTACTCGCACTACTGTTTGTTGAGATATCTTAATGATTATGATGTCAAATGAAAGGTTTAGTAAAACTATTATTATTACCTACTTATATTTATATTATTAATATTATTAACTATTATTACCTACTATTATAAAATGTAATAAGATTAAACTTACCACAACCAGTGATATTGCTTGTTTTTTCTCTATTTCTCTCCCTTCTATAAGAACTCAAAAGACTTTTCATTTTCAATTTTAAATCTGCTTTTGGTTGAACGAAATTTTTCGCAATTTCTTCCCATAGATCTTCTCTCACGTTATTATTGTGATATTCTTTACGTCTAGTATCCCATAATGGACTATGGGAGGCATATATTTCAATAAGACGAATTGCTGTTTCGTTATCCATTTTTTCAAGATACGTCCGTCCACACACAATCACTGGCGAACCAACACTAACACCGTTCGCGGCGATCGGCGTGCGCGGCGGGTAGCGCGCAGCTGCCGCGCGCGGCAGTCGTCCAATCACAGCGCGGCTAGCCGCGCGCGGCAGCCGCGCTCGAATGCCGCGCATTGTTTGGACACACCATAAGAGGAAGCTCTTACCATCTGTATGTTGATGATTTACAACTATATGCAAGTACTGATAGCTTCATTTGAATCAGACTGTCGCAGATTTAAATCATAATCTCAGTGTGATCAGAAACTGGTCGGCTAATTTTGGTATCTCAGTTAATCCAAACGAGTGTCAAGCGATCATTGTTCTTTATTCGGGTTAATTCGATATTCTATGACGGTGTTACTATTCCTTTCTCGGTTCAAGTAAAGGACTTGGGTTTGATAGTCGACGAAAAACTTTCCTGGATAGACCATGTCAATTACGTCTCGCATAGGGTGATTAATTCTCTAAGATCCCTTTACAGGTTAAAGTTCTTTCTGCCCACTCGTACCAAGATTGTCCTTGTTCAATCTCTCATTCTGCCTATCATCGATTACGCCGACGTATGTTATCCCGATATCAATGAAAATCTTTTGAATAAGTTGGATCGCCTTCTCAATAGCTGCATCCACTTCATATATGGCTTACGTAAATACGACCATATTTCACATTTTCGTCATCAGCTCAAGTGGCTTCCTATTCGTGAGCGTAGGAACCTCAGAGTTGTTTGTGCCCTTTTTAATCGTCTCTTCAATCCACATACACCGGTTTACCTAAAAAGCAGATTTAGGTTTCTGAGTGATTCTCATGACCATTTTCTCCGTTCAATCTCCTTCTACATACTCCCGACCATTCTTCTGGTTTCGTCTTCTACTTTTTCACTGTCACGGCTGTACGACTCTGGAATGACTTGCCCCCCAATATACGTAAAGCTCCTAACAAACTTGCATTTAGGGGATTGGTTCATGAGCACTATCTCAATAGCATTAAAAGCGTTCTCATATTTGACTGACATAATCGTATACTTATTATATATATGTATAAGTGTATATGTATGTATATACATGTGTATAATATGTATGTATTCTGTTAAGAGTATTTGTATCATAGGTTTATCTTAAATTTCTCTTTATTGCGCCCCCGCCATATTAGTTTTTTTCTCACGCTCTTACTGGTCGACTGGTAGAGAATGCCTTGTGACATTATGTCCGCCATTTGCTTTGTAATTTTGCAATAAAGTTTAAATTAATAAATAACTCTGGCAAGAAACGCCGATAAGATGGACTTTGTTTTAATCAAATTAGATTGTCGCCTTGTAACTGCAAATTTACCATATTAAAATAATAATAATAAATATTCTTTATTGCACACAACAAAGGACACAAGACATAAACAAATAAAACAGGAGAAAGAGTACAATAGGCGGTAAAATTTGTAAACAAGTATGTTAAATGGGCAATGCCTGTTGCGCGGTTGTGTGAAGAAAATGACGAACACTTTCATCAATTACTCCTTCATACTGAAGTACGCTGGCTATCGAAAGAGTTATATTTGACAAGATTTTTTGGACTTTTTGAGAATTTCTGGGTACCATAGATAAAATTTTAAAAGACAATCTAATGAAGCGGAAAGCAGACAGACACGGAAGAGCCCTCCTTTTCCATGTTGGCGGTACATGCAGACTCTGGTCCTTTGGCCAGAGTCTACGTGTGCCTCCACACCGGCGACGCTCGAACGAACTCGACTGTTTGACTACCTTAGAAGGGCAGCAGATGAAGCCCAGGCGCAATTTTCTAACGCAGAACTGGTGTTTTTGGGGGACTTTAACGCCCACCACGGTTTGTGGCTTGGCTCTTCCAAAACTGACCATGCAGGGATCTCTGCCAATGCTTTCGCTCTCACGCATGACTTGACACAAACTGGTTGATCAGCCCACCAGGATCCCAGATAAAGCAAGAAGACGCTTCTTTACTAGACCTTTCATTACGACCCATCCGCAGGAGTATCAGGTTCTGGTTCGAGCCCCACTGGGTTCATCAGACCATTGCCTGATATCTGACAAGGTGCTACAGGCCAAAACCCCTCGACCATTGGTGGTCAAACGCAGGGTCTGGCACTATGGGTCGGCAGATTGGGATGCTATGCGCGACTACTTTGCGTCCGTCCCTTGGAAGCAGCGCTGGTACGCTGGGGAAATGCATTGAATTGCATACCACATTGTGGTTATGTGGGGCTCTCCTCCCCAATAGGGGGAGGCCTATCCACTAAAACCCCAGCGATGGCCGCCATCAGGCATTGTACGGGGCCTCAGGATCGAGTATCGCATCTGAGGACCCGCAGCCTTTGTTCCCCTGCTTCCTCCAGGGGAGCCCTTCTCGGGGGAGTGTTCGCGGTGTATGCGGGGATGTCGTCCCTCCCAGGTCGCTTCCATGAGCACAAGCTCCGTCGTGCTCACCAGCGACCCGCGGCGGTACATCAGGCCATTATCTGGCCCGACGCCGCCTTCTTCGAGCGGGATCGGCCATCTCCCGAACCCGCTCGGCGGCCTCCTTCTGGAACATCACCGCTTCACAGAAGAAGGCCGCAGCCTACCAACCTCCCTCATCCGCAAGCATTGCCGCAATCAATGCTGGCGAAGACAGATCCTGCCCGATTAAGACTTGGCGTTCGGAGTCCCAAGCGGGACAATCCGCCAGAGTATGCTGGGCCGAGTCTAGTTCGGATGCGCAGTGGTGACATCGTGCCGTGTCCTCCCTCCCTATTCGACTCAGATACTCACCGAAACAACCATGTCCGGTGAGTACCTGAGTCAAGCGGTAGGTGACTGCCTCCTTCCCGTGGAGCCAAGCTTCGAAGTGCGGGAGTATAGCACCGACGGCACGTTGACGCGCGCAGCCCCCCAATTCTAGCTGTGCGCGCCAATCCCTCTCAGCCCGTCGGTGCAACTCCCGCCTGTGTATTCCATGCGCGGGTTCTGGGGAGCGCTCCCTGTCTCCCCTCCGGTCGACATGTCGTGGCGCGTTATACATCACCGCGCACATGTTGGCCAGGATTTCGAAAGGGGGGGAGCGCACTATGTGGAGATCGAGTCGGTTTCGGGTCATAAATCTATAACTTCCACGTTTTTATAGATATACAGCTGATTTTTTTTAGGTAATCTGAGATAAACGTACTTTAAAATAATATACAGTCTATGCATATAAAAATATATTTAATAACTAGCTTTTGCCTGCGACTTCGTCCGCGTTTTCGTCGTTTTTCGTAAAAAAGTAGAATATGTCCTTCCTCAGGGTTCCGTGGTTTTGATGTGACAGACAGATTAACTTTCGTATTATAGTAGGGAAATATAATATGTCAATCCACAATACTATTAAAAATATCGCAATAAGGACCCGCAGAATATTATTATTATCACTGTGCCCCGAGACCATCAGCGTGTAACTCCTTGTATGTTATTATGTTAATGTATTGGTAATATTATTTAGATCACTTTCACATGAGGCTTAAGTACATATAGAATGAAAATACTTCAGCGCAAAGCTTCCGGGTAAACTACGTTGAAAGTTGACCCGTCCGGCACGTGAACATAAAAATTTCTAGAACTACTAACCCGGGAAAGAGCGACATATAACTGACCATGTGAAAAACAACTGACACCGAGATCTACTCCAGCAACACGAAAAGTCTGCCCTTGAGCCTTATTTATTATCATTGCATAACACACCGATACTGGGAATTGCGTTCTTTTAAATTGGAATGGAAAATTATTTGGTATTATGGGAATTCTGGGAATAAAGATGGTTTCTCCTGCACCGCAACCTGTTAAAATTTGAGCCTCGATTATATTTTGTTGCAAGTGAGTTACTTTAAGCCGAGTTCCATTGCAAAGTTGTGGTGGTCTTAAATTTCCAATTTTTAAACAAATTTCATGAGAAGGAAGTCCGGGCATATTTAAAGAATTTAAAAATTCTATCGGGTAGTTCGTGGCTTCTTCTTCATCGGCCATTCTTTTTATTGAACTATAAACTTTGCTTTCCCCCTAGATATTCGGCAGTATTTTATATATCTCAGATGACTGGTCATTGCGAGGAGTTAAAATGGACCTTTCGCATAGCCAAGAATTGTCCTTATTTAATATATTTGTTACGTCACCGTAAACTGACGATATAAGATGTTGTTGGGATTGCACTATACAACATAACTCAGGCGTCAGAATAAGTTTTCCTTGGTGTAGCAGTGGATAGGTATCTTTGGTGAAAGTATTTTCTTTAATAATATATCAGAAAATTCACGATCATCCGGGTTATCTACAGTTCTCACTCGCATGTTTATAGTCAAATGCACCGATTGTATATCACGCCACAAATAAGAGCTTTTCAGGCAAGCCCTAACCTCATCAGCTCGGGTTCCCCGTGGTATTACCGGTAAGGTTAAACAACTGATACGTGGTCCTAACTTTAGCTATCTTACACTTAAAATCTAAGTGACTATTTACACTAAAATATTCTTATAGAATTATAACCAGAAATATATACAACTCACAACAAAAAAGTAATAAAAATAAAGCTGGAACGCCGCGCCTGTGCAATACTATCCACCTATACCTACTTCACTTAAAAATAAATACTTATAACTACTTTAATTAATAAAAGTACCTACGCTTCTTAATAATATATTTTTAATTTGAACGAATATTTAAACACTACCAAAACAACTAATATCTATTTTACAAAATAACAACAAAAGAAATTCAAATAAACTATTTAAAGACTAAAAGTCGCGCTGATAACTACGGTTTCTCATTATTTCTCAATTATTGTCTGTCAATAAGGTCGAACGCTCTGAACGCATCAACAGCCAAATATTGAAGCTCGCTCGCTCTCTTTTTTTTATTTTTTTTGTTTCCTCTCAGACGGGGGAGCAGGTGAGAAATCCTCATGGATACCCTACAGCCGGTTGCAAGGTTATGT